GAAGACAGAAGAGGCTGTCAGATCCCCTGGAACTGGAGTTATGGACAGCTGTTAGCTGCCATGTGGGTGCTGGGATTCGAACCCCAGTCTTCTGCAAGAACAGTCAGTGTTCTTCACCGCTGAGCCATCTCTCCAACCCCATAAGACATACGTCTTTTAAAAAATAAAAACACCCAAGCAAGAACAGCCCTGGAAAAGTTACCCTGTTTCTGGTTTTGATTTAAATACCTAACCACATTATTTTTATGAGTGATTATTCCACAACTGTGGGTGGCACCTGGCACAGGTGGTTCCAGTGGAATTAGTCCAGGATATACTGCCCCACGGTGAATTCCCTAGGCTCTTCCAACCCTAAGGATCACACATGGCATACTCAGTACCATCCATTACTGTTTACTGTCACTCTCCGAAACTCTTCTGATTACTAAACTGGCTCTCCAAAAGCCTTGAAATGGGGAGGAACTGTGCAGGGTGCCCTTGATGTCAGAAGTGATTATTCCAGTAAGTGGAACTGCATGTTTCCCATCACATTTGTTGGCATTCCAGGTTTTGGGTGTTTAAGTGGCATGAGTTGGTTTCTCGGAACTCTGCTAGCCCTAAGATGGACTAATAAATAATGTCTGATCTCAGAGGCAAGGTTGGTGCTCCCTAGCCCTCAGATCTCCCCATCTTTTTTCTTTTTTTTTTTTTTTTTTCATTCGTTTTGAGATACGGTCTCACTCTGTAGCCCGTGTTGTCCTGAGGCTCGCTATATAGCCCAGGTTTACCTTGAACATAAAGCAGTCCTACTCTCTTGGCCTACCCAGTGCAGGGCTTACATGTCTGAGCCACTAACCACTTGCTTGCTTATATCATTTAAGATGGCTTTTTCACAGGTCAGTGAGATGGCTCAGGTTATAAAGGTGCTTCCCACCAGACTTGACAACCTGAGTTCAGTCCCCAGAACTCATGTGGTAGGAGGAGAGAAACAACTCCTATAAGCTGTCCTCTGATCTCGATCTCAGTATGAATGTTTTGGCACTTACGTGTAAGCGCTGCACCCTCAGAATAAATAAATCAGTGTAATTTTAAATAACTTTTTAGGGGGCTGGAGAGATGGCTCAGTGGTTAAGAACACTGGTTGTTCTTGCAGAAGACCCGGGTTCAAATCCCAGCACCCACATGGCAGCTAACAGCTGTCCATAACTCCAGTCCCAAGGGATCCAACAGCCTCTTCTGACCTCCTCAGGCATTGCACGACATGGGTGCACTAACCTACATGCAGACGATACATGCAAACACATAAAATAAAAATAATAAAATGTAAAAAAAAAATTATTAAATAACTTTTTAGCCTGTAGCTAAGAACCATCTTCAGACTTACTGAACAACCTGCACTCCAAATATTAGCTTTCTGGGCTGCATTCTTAGGCTGGGGCCTACTCATCACAGCAGGTTTTGAAAATGTGCACCTCAGTGAATTGGTAACTCAGCAGGATAGTAGGAATTGGAACTAGCTAGAAAAATCCCAATCTTTAGAAGTGAGACCTTAGACTTGTAAAGGAAAGGATTAAGACACTAGCCTGGAGCTGCAAAGGAAGGAAGGCTTTTATTCACGTTTGTGTGGGAAGTGCAGAGGCTGAACAAAATGAAAAGGCACACAAGTTAAGTGGAGGAGGGACCGGGAAGAGCGTGACTGTATAGAACCACACACTCATGTTTGCTCTCATCCAGAGTGCTCAGAGGAGTGGGGTGCTGTGTGGTAAATGTCACATATTGGCTATGTGGGCACTTGTGCTGAGACATTGCACTCCTGCTCAGTCTCCTCGAGTGGCCAATAGAATTGATTGGAAGGAAGGGTGCTCCTCTTCTTTGTTGATTCCATTTGGATTCCTCCAGAGGGTAGAGCTCATTTGAGAAAGATCACTTCTGAGAGAGAAGATTGAGCATCAGATCTACTCTGAAGATTACTTTTTTTTTTTTTAAAGGTTTTTAATAAACATGATTTAGAGAGAACTGAGATTAATGTGTGTTTTGTTCTTTTAGGCAGGATATGAGGTTTGGCTTTCTATCCTGGAGGAGTGCCATCCTCTACCTAAAGAAATGATTGTAATCGCATTGATGGAGTTGCATCCAGAACACCAGGCCATCCACAAAGGATGAACAAGCTCAGTTTAGAGGCGGCAGGGTCAGCAAAGGCTTCCCACAGAAGGGCCATCAGAGCAGATCCTTGAAATAGGAGTTGGCCAGGTATGGAGAGGCCAGGTCCTAGCAAAAGGGAAAGCAGTGAAGTCACATTCACAGAAGAGATCACAGTGTGGTTGTGGATTGCAAGTGGCTTGGACCAGTAAGAAAGCTGAAGTAGAAGAGGTGTAGGCAGGAGTCAGGTCCTATTGTATCTAAGACTATGCTTACAGGCTGGGATTTCACTGTGAAGATGATGGACCAGAGATAAGGCTCAGCAGCCACTTACTGCCAAGCCTGACACCTGAGTTTGATTCCTGAGACCCACATGGTAGAAGGAGAGAGCCAGCTGTTTTGGTGGGAGGTTTTTGGGGGTTTTTTTTTTTTTTTTTTTTGGTCCATTTTGACACAGGATTTCCTTGTAGCCCCAGCTGTCCTGGAACTCATTGTGTAGACCAGGCTGGCCTTGAACTCACAGTGATTGCCTGTCTCTGCTTCCCGTGTGCTAGGATTAAAGGCAAGCACCACCACTCCCAGTTGGACTCTGACCTTCACACATCCACTGTGTACACACACATGAATAAATACAATAATGAAAAAATTGTACCAGTTAAGATGGCTCAGGAGGTAAAGAGACCTGCTGCCAAACCTGGTGACCTGAGTTTGATCTCTAGGACCCATATGGTAGAAGGAAAGAACAAACTCCTACAAGTTATCCTCTGACTTCTACATGCATACCATGGCATACATCCACCCCCCCCAAAAAAAAAATTATATATATATATATATATATGTATTTCTTTTTTTTTTGGTCTTTTTGAGACAGGGTCTCCCTGTAGCCCCAGCTGTCCTGGAACTCACTATGTAGACCAGGCTGTCCTTGAACTCACAGAGATCCATCTGCCTCTGCCTCCCAAGTGCTGGGATTAAAGTCGTGCGCCACCACGCCCAGGTAATATTTTTTTATTGATAAAGGCAATAGGAGCTGAAAGGGGGAGATTTGGTTTGGTTTGGTTTGGAGACAGGGTTTTGCTATGTATTCAGGCTGGCCTCAAACTCACTTTATAACCCCAACTGGCCTCAAATTCATGATCATCCTATCCAAGTGTCCCTAGTGCTATAATTACAGGGACACACCAACATGCTAGCTCCTGCCAGAGGATTTTAAGCATCATATCACAGGCAGCAGAGCTGTAGTATGGAGGTTTGGTTGCAGAGAGCGAGGCTGGAATCAGAGGCCAGGGATGGTGAGAACCAGGTCCTGAGTATGTAGGGGCAAACAGGAAAGGCACATGAGGAAACGTTCGAAGTATAGCCTGAAGTTCTTGGTGCTGGAGGTCTGGCAGCTAGTAGGTGTTGCTGTAACCTGAGGCCTGGGAGATGGGGTGTAGGTGGTAGATAGGATGATGGGTGAATTCAGACTTTGAAATACACATAGAATGTCCAAAATGGAGATGTCTGGAGGTTCTGCCTGTCTGGAGAGCAGGTTAGTATGGCTGGATGTTGGTGTAAATGGGAATAGGTAATATGATTGTTAACATACTAGGTTGGTTCCATCTTCTCGCCATCACCCCATTCAAGCCACTGTTAACTTTTGACTGATCTGCCTACTCTTGCATTAGCCCATTCTATAGCTAGTGGAATGCTATTTAAAAACTGAGGTGGAATCTTATAAATTCCCTTCTGAAACCCATTGCCACCAACTTATTGCCCTGAGAGGTCAGACTTCTTACCAGGCCTGTAAGGCCCTGTGTGACCTGTACTGGACTGCCTGCCTGGCCACCCTAGCCTGAGCCACTCTTCTCTCTCGCTCACCCAAGTTGCAACCCTGCCCACTGCTTCTAGGGTCTCAGCTTTCTCTTCCTTGCCTCTCTCAGGCCTTGGTTCATACTGCTCCCTGTGTGAGTTATCCTTTGCCTACCCCCACTCTGTCTGACTGCTTATCTTTCAGGCCTTCTTCAGATGGTTGTTTCTTCAGAGGAGCTTTCCCGAGCTCTTGAGCTGCATTAGAACCATTGTACATTTTCCCTTCCTTCCCAGCACTAAAGACTCTCTTATTAGCTTCCTGCATGTTCGTGTGTGTCTATCACCCATGTCCTCTAGGGGATAAAATCCAGTCAGAGTTTTGTTACCACTGTACCCAGTGCCTGACAGCCTCAAGCACATGGTTAGCGCTCCATGAATATTTGTCAAATTTGTTGAATGCATGAGAATCATAATTGTTTTCCCTTCAACTTGTAATTTTTTTTTTAGTTTTATGTGTATGCATGTGTGTAGGTAAGTGCACCCATGTCGTGCAATGCCTGGGGAGGACAGAAGAGGCTGTCGGATCCCCTGGAACTAGAGTTATGTACAGTTGTTAGCTGCCATGTGGATGCTGGGATTCGAACCTGGGTCTTCTTGGAAGAACAGTCAGTGTTCTTAACTGCTGAGCTATCTCTCCAGCCCCAATGACTTGTAATAGTTATAGTCACAAAACAAATAGGTCTGTGACTCACAAATAGGACTGTGACTCAAGCTTTGCAGTTGTGTCACCAATTTCATCTTCTTTCGAAGGTTCTATTATATTCTCAACCACTTACTAAATACTAACTACAACCTCTGGGAGATTTTGCCAGTAAAATTGCAGATTAAATCCTAAGGTAATTTCTCCTCCCTGTTTCCTCTGTGACTGGTTAACCCATCACCATCCTGACAGTAGTACAGCTGTAGAGTTTGGAAGTTAGAAAAGCTGGTACTTGGCTCCCATGAGATGAGCACTCATGACAAAGGGTAGTAGTGGCAGCCTCCTGCAGCCTGACTGGGGAAGCATCCCAACCATGCTGTTTGCATTGCAGCTGTGGGAAAGTCCACCTTTGTGAAGTTACTCAAGAAAACTTATCCAGAGTGGCACGTGGCGGCAGAACCTGTAGCAGCATGGCAGGATATCCAGGCTGCTGGCACCCAAAAAGTAAGTTTTCATCTGTGCTGGGTACTGGCAGGCAAGGCGAGTAATATCATTGCAGTAATTTAATTTGCTCTGAGGAGATGAAGTAGTCCAGCTTTCTCCTTTTTAAAGTAGCTTCATTCTAGAAAACAGACCACAGAGGATATGTCTTGTCTGAATATGTTTAGATTTGATTTTCGTGGCTTTTGTATGTCTATAGACATGCCTGCCTCTTTGTGGTTTTGCAAACCATGTCTAGCCACCCTACTTTGGAGATGAATGTTATCATTCCTACAAGGCCTTAACTATTTATATTGTTGTTGAAGCTGTCAGGATTAATAGTCAGTGATAAAGTCTTAGACTTGGAAGGGACCCTACTGAGCATCATGTCACCCTTTGTGTCAACAAAGAAGCAACACCTGGCTTTTCTTTTTTTTTTTTTTGGTCTTTTTGAAACAGAGTCTCCCTGTAGCCCCCAGCTGTCCTTGGAACTCACTGTGTAGACCAAGCTGGCCTTGAATACACAAAGATCCGCCTGCCTCTGCCTCCCAGTGCTGGGATTAAAGGTGTGCGCCACCACGCCCAGCCCAACACCTGGCTTTTGAAAAAAAATTTTATTATACATGTATGAGTACATTGCCTGCATGCGTGTAAATGCACCTGTGTCATGCAATGACCATGCAGGTCAGAAGAGAGTCACAACCCCTAGAACTGGAGTTATGGACAGTTGTTAGTTGTCTTATGGGTGCTGGGAATTAAACCTGAGTCTTCTGTAAGAGCAAACAGTGCTTTTAACTGCTGAGCCAGCTGGCATTTTTAAAGACATACCCTGTGCCAGACCCTTCTCCCAGGCCAGGCCCCACATGTTTCACTCACACCTTACAACTTAGCCCCAGTGACAGGTCTGCTGCTCAGCCAAGACCGTTAGGTTGCTCCATGAACTCTTTTTGCAGATATCAGGAACCTTCATTCAGTGGCTCAAACTAGTTTTACCAACTGTAATAGCTGCACAGATTACGTGTTGAGCCACATGGAACCCCTATGATCCTGAGTTGTTGGTTCAGGTTCTGCCTTTTTTTTTTTTAATTTTTTTAAAATTTATTATTTTTTTTTTATGTGTATGCGTGTATTGCCTGCATGTAGGTAAGTGCACCCGTGTCTTGCAATGCCATCAGAGGACTGAAGAGGCCGTCGGATCCCCTGGAACTGGAGTTACGGACAGTTGTTAGCTGCCATATGGGTGCTGGGATTCGAACCCTGGTCTTCTGCAAGAACATCCAGTGTTCTTAACTGCTAAGCCATCTCTCCAGCCCCAGGTTCTGGCTTTTAAGACTTGACTTTTCTGCCCTACTGCAACCCCCATATACTGTTAAGGCAAGGATGCCTACCCTTTCTCTTCAGATCTAATCTCTTCAAGCCAAACACCTCCAGGTTTCCTCCACGCTGTTTTTCATTCTGAAGTATCTTTGCCTAAGTGATACACTTCAGTTCCTTTTCCATTCGGGATTCGCTAAGTGTGGTACCCAGAGTCAAACAGGACATTCAGATGTACTCTAAATGGTATCGTATCTTAGAACTTGTTTTGGGGTGCCTTTTTAAAATTCAGTTCCAAGTTATGTTACCTTTGTGGCAGGCATGTTATTCTGATTGAACAATTTTGTTTCTCTAGTTGTCTCTTTACATGTCTTTTTGTATGTGGGTATGTGTATTTGTGAAATTTCCCATTTAGTAAGAAATTATATATCTTTTTCTGAGTACACCATAGGTAACTGTTAAGATTTTAAAATATGTCCACAAGTTGTTTGAAACTCCACCCTTCTAGACATGGAGCTCAGTTCTGACTTGCTAGCTTGTGTTTAAAGAATAGAATGTGGTAAAAGTAGCAGCGTGACTTCCTGGTCAGTCATAGGAACACAGGCTCTGTCTTTCCCGGTGTTGGTGAGAACCAGGTTTGGTGTCGTGACACAGCCCCACCAGGAGGCCCACAGCCTCCTGCCAGCACAGCAGTGAATCTTTCTGGAGTCATGTCCTGCATCCCAGTCCAGTGTGAGGTGATGGCACCCTCACTTAGCATCTTGGCTGAAACTTCATTAGAAACCCTGAGGTAGAACCATTCTAAGTTTCCTAGATTCCTACCCCATAGAAACTGAGATAGTGAATGTTTTTGTTTTAAGTTGAATTTTGGCATCCTTAGATTAAACAGCAGTGGGTAACTACTACTCCTGCAACCTGTTATCCAGAAGCAACATGGCTAAGGCCTTCTTCCTTTTATGTATTTCTACAGAAGAGAAATGTTTACCTACATAAATGTCATGCAGGTTCTAAGGATCAAATTCAGGTCCTCATGTGGGCAAAGCAAGCACTTTACCAACTGAGCTATTTCCCCAGCCCGCTTTCTTTTTGAAGGGCATGTTAATAAAGATAATTTAATATAGATTTATATTTTTATAGATTGATAGAGAAAGAGGTGCTCAGGAGATAGATAGAAACAAGAGCATGGGTGTGGGCTTCTCCAGTCCTCTTTTTCTTTTTTTCTTTTTTCTTTTTGGTGCCTGAGGATTGCTAGACAAGCGCTCTATCACTGAGCTACATCCTCAGTCCCTGAATATGCTCTTTTATTCTATTGAGATTTTTATCTTTGTGTGTGCACATGTAAGCACTCATGCACATAAGTACTTATGCACATAAGCACTCACATACGTGTGTTTGTGTGTATGAGTGCAGGCACGTGCATGACAAGGCATATGTGTGGAGGTCAGATGACAGCCTCCAGTGTCTATCTTCACCTTCTACCTTATTTCTGAAACAGAGTCTCTTTGTTGTTTGCCCATTGCACACTCCAGGCTAGCTGTCCCTGGAGTGTCCAGGGATTCTCTGGGCTCCACCTCCCACCTTGCCCTAGGAGTACTAGGATTACAGGTGCACACTACCACACTTTTCATGGGTTCTGGGATGCAACTTGGGTTCTCACACTTGAGCTGCAAGCGCACAAGAGCTCTGAGTTCTCTTTTTTTTAAAAAATTTATTTATTTTTAAATTTTATGTGTATGAGTATATTGCCTGCCTGTGTGTTAGTGCACCTGTGCATGCAATGCCCACAGAGGTCAGAAGAAAGCATTGGATCCCCTGGAACTGTAATTACAGACGGTTGTTAGCTGCCATGTGGGTGCTGGAATCAAACCTGGGTCCTCTGCAAGAGCAGCCAATGCTCTTAACCACTGAACCATCTCACCAGCTCCTGAGTTCTCATTTTTAAGGAATCTGCTTTTTCTGTTAATTATGTTTTAAAAAAAATGTGGTTTTACTTCCATTCCATTTGTCTTGTTTTTTTTTTCCTTGTATTTTCATTGACTTTGCTCTGTGTTTATGTATTTCAGTGCTACTTTATTCTCTGTAAAACAAGGTCCATAACTTCTTTGTAGAGTCTTTATTAATATATAGATACATATTTTCCTTTCCTTTTATTCCCCCTCACAGCTCAGAAAATACTTTTTGTCACAGTTATAGATAGATCTTTTAAAAATTCCATTGTAGGGGCTGGAGAGATGGCTCAGCGGTTAAGAACACTGGTTGTTCTTGCAGAAGACCCAAGTTTGAATCCCAGCACCCACATGGCAGCTAACAGCTGTCCTAACTCCAGTTCCAGGGAATCCAATGGCCTCTTCTGTCCTCCGCAGGCATCGCATGACACGGGTGCACTTACCTACATGCAGGCAATATACACATATGCATAAAATAAAAATAATAAATAAGCCAAGCATGGTGGTGCATGCCCTTAATCCCAGCACTTGGGAGGCAGAGGCAGGTGGATCTCTGTGAGTTCAAGGCCAGCCTGGTCTACATAATGAGTTCCAGGCCAGCTGGGGCTACAGAGAGACCCTGTCTCAAAAAGACCAATAATAATAATAATGATAATGATAATGATAATAATAAATACATAAAATATTAAAACAAAAATTCTATTGTAAAAATTCTATTGTAGGGCTGGAGAGATGTCTCAGCAGTTAAGACCACTGGCTGCTCTTGCAGAGGACCCGGGTTTGATTCCCAGCACCCACATGATGGCTAACAACTGTCGGTGCCCTCTTCTGACTCCACTGGCATTGCACAACATGGGTGCACTTACACACATGCAGGCAATACACTTGTACACATAAAATAAAAATAATAAAATATTTTTTAAAAAACCCTCTTGTAGGGGCTGGAGAGATGGCTCAGCGGTTAAGAGCACTGACTGCTCTTGCAGAGGATCTGGGTTCAATGCCCAGCACCCACAGAGCAGCTACAAACCGTCCTTAACTCCAGTTCCATGGGAATCCGAAGCTCTTTTCTGACCTCCTCGGCATTGCATGACATGGGTGCACTCACATATATGCAGGCAATACACTCATACACATAAAATAAAAATAATAAAATATTTTTTAAAAACCCTCTTGTAGCATCTGAAGCTTTTTTTCCCTTGGTACAGTATAACCAGATATTAATTTATTGTGGGTTTGCGGGGGTTGTTTTATGAGACAGGGTCTCCCTATAGCCCCCACTGGCCTGAAACTATGTAGACCAGGGTGGCCTCAATCTCACAGAGATCCATCTGTCTCTGTCTCCTGAGTGCTGGAATTAAAGGCATGTGCCACCACACCTGGCTAATTTATTGGCATTAAAAAGAACCCCTCTTGTAGCATTTAATGCTTTTTTCTTGACACAGTACAACCATGTCTGTCCTTTTTTTCCTTTCTTCATTTATTTTAAAGATTGTTTTTATTATTGGCTTTTGATATTATTTTTTTTATTTATGTTTATGAGTGTATTGCTTGCATGTATGCAAGTGCACCCATGGAGGTCAGAAGAGGACATCAGATTCCCCTGGAACTGGAGTTACAGATGGTTATTAGCCTTCATGTGGGTGCTGGGAATTGAGCCCAGGTCCTCTGCAAGAGTAGCCAGTGCTCTTAAGAGCTGAGCCATTGCTCCAGACTGTTCTGTTTTTGTTTTTTAAATTTTATTCTTAATTATGTGTATGTGGC